GAGGTGACCCCCTGCTGCCCGTCTCCTGCACCACCGGGGAGACCCGATGGAGGGAGGCTTCCGCCTAGAGATTCGCCTACAATCAGCCAGCTAGGCAAGTGGGAGAGGGAGGCTGGGAGCCCAGGTCTCCTGGCTCCCAGGCCAATAGGCTCCGGCAGCCCATTGAGGCTCAGACCCCCACGGTCACACGAAGGTCAGGCCACGGACATCTTGGGTTCCAGACCGTACCCACATCTGAGCAGACCGTCAGGAGACAAAAAGCATCAGAAAATCCCATGCCGGCAGCGTGGGGCCAGCGCCAGTAAGCAGGCTCAGAGGGCTAGTGTGGAACACAGCCTGCTGACCGGCCGGAAATGAAGTCAGGCACTTTGCAGAGATGAGGGATGTGCTCTGATCATCAAACCTGAGTGGAGAGAGATCGGCCGAGAAGAGAGAGAGGAGCCAAGTTGCCCATTTGCTGTAATGAATTGGGCTGGACTGGAGAAGCCCAGAATCCTGACATTGATCATGCAGCTTAGCTTAAGGAATCATAAAAGTCTATGGCTGGAAAGCAGCTTTAATGTCATCTGTTCCAACTGCTCCTCGGGCCCAGCGGGAGGCTGTCTGGCCCTGTTGTCATGCTCCAGTGGTGGAATTGGCCGTGGCCTTAGACACCTACCCCTCACCTTCAAAATGCGGACTCGTTTTAACCCCAATCTGAATTCTGGGGCCCAAGCTGCAGGAAATAAACTGCAAATGTGGAAAACACTAGACACACAAATGCGCCTGACAGTAGAATGTATAATAAAGCAACCTGGGGTGGTTTGCCTGGAGATGATAGATAACAAGGGAGAGAAACAACCTGCATATAGCTGACTGAGGCACGGTTCTCTGGAAACAACATTCCGAGCACACACGATTTCCACAGGGTGCCCATAAAAGGGTGAGGCATGGGGGGCCCCACCTGGTGAGCCAGGTCAGGGGGATCAGCCCTGACCAGACGTGGAGTGACACATGCCACAGCCAGACCCATCCCTGCAGGGGTCAGCCAAATCCTAACTACGTTGGCCCTACGGATCATGCAGTCTTCAGCTCAACAACTCAACCCTTGCTGCTGTGGTGTGAAAGCAGCTGACGCTGCTATGCAAGTAAATGATCAGAACTGTGTTCCAATAAAACTTTACCTACAAACACAGGCAGCATGCCAGACTCAGCCCTAAGCTTCAGCTGGTCGACCCCTCGCCGCCACCTTTACATCTATTAGCTTTAAATGGCAAACCGAACAAAAGGAAATGTCCTCCAGACCAACCTCAGGAAATGGTTTAATAAGCTGAACCACTTGAAATGGACTCATTCGATCCATATTTATTGAGTGCCTGCTGTGTCAGACACGTGCTCTGAGTACCAAGGATGACGTGAGGAGCAAACCAGCCAGGCATGCGGTGTCCGAGGGATGTACTGAAAATCTACAAGAACTCATCTCACTGTAAGGAAAACCCTTAGACTGCTGTGTGAAATGTGTGAAGCGAAATACAAAACTGTATAAGAATAAGACCGATTAACATTTAAAGAAACACACAGTGGAAAAGAACAGTGAAATTTAAAAAAACAGGCACATGTTACGAATGTTCACCTTCAGCTGGCTCAGCCACCCCTTCTATTTCTAGTTTCTAATTTCTTCATATAAAATCACATATTATACGAAATAATAAAGCCCTCCCCATTGTCCTTTTCATATTTATTTATTTGGCTACATCAGATCTTAGTTGACAGCACATGGAATATTTAATTGTGGCATGTGGGATCTAATTCCTTGACCAGGGATGGAACCCGGAGCCTTGGCATTGGGAGCACCAGGGAAGTCCCCTTCCCATCATTTTTAAAAGAGGAAATCTGTCCTGATTTTAAGGTAAAGTCCGTGTACCTCCTGCAGTTTTCCTGGCTGCCCCTGAAGAGTATGAGAGCCACACGGCTCAGCCCTAGGTGTCTGCACACTCACCAGGCAGGGCTGGAGAGTTCAGCACGCTGGACAGAGCCCCGCGCCCCATGGGAGTGCAGCGGGGCTGCGGAGTCACCTTCAGCGGGCACCCTCGGCCCTCCTCTCCGGCCCCCCTGCTGGATCCACCTCTCAGAGGAGACACTCACTGAAGCGGGAGAGAGAGTGGTCCCCTGAGTCTGGCTGGCGCAAGTGGAACGAGCCCTGTGACCCAGCAAGGAGGACAGGCGGTCGGACTGTTGGGGGAAAGGAAGCAAAAACAAGCACTGCGCGGACCCCGTTACCCACGTTATCAGCTTGGGAAAGGGCTGGCAAGCGTGCCAATACCAGTCACAGCAACATCTGCTCCTAACTGCTTCTCCCCTGGCGTTCTCAGAGTGCATCAGCTGGTGTCTGCCCTGGGACAAAATCCGATATTTTTAACAAAGTCTTAAATCAGATGGCGTCCTTGATGAGCAATTTCTTACGTGATTGGTCTTTGGGGCTAAAAACAGTCAGCGCACCTCCGAGGGACGTGGCCGTCAGCAGGGGCTGGGTGACCAGGAGGCCCGGCTTCAAACGGCATGACTAAGAGTTTCCAGCTCCAACAGCACTTCCCAGTATTTTCTTTCATTCATCATGTATTTATAGCCCAAATATGAGTGTTCCAGTGCTTTTATAAGTCCACGTGTCCACTTCTTTATGGGTAGCTTTTCTCTCTTTTCCAAATATTTTTGTTTAAAAAAAAAAATAGTCTCTTTGTAAAAGAAAAAAATGTGTGTTTTTTCTTTAAAAAAAAAGAGTAAAAAAAAAAAAAAAGAGTACATCTCTCTATGTCTAATTCTCTCCCCCACCCACCCCTACCTCCCCCGTGTGAGGCACAATCCTTTAAGCTAGACACATATGGATGGAACATCCTGTCCTCTTGAAGGAAACTGTTTCTGGTTTTAGGTTCTCCTCAAAACACCAGCATCCCCCCTCCACAGCCTGGTGGGAGCGCACCTTCCTGCAGCGGCTGATCTGAAGCACCAGTCTGCCTTCTGAATCCAGCACTGGAGACCTCACGCCACCACTTTCCATCCCAGCCGTTTGGAAAGGCCTCTGCTCAGCACAGACCCTCGGGGGCCACTATACCTGCCAGGACGGGGATGCCTTTAGGCAGCAGTTTCAGCACTGCAGGTGCAGCAGGCTAGCGCCCTTCAGCATGGGACCACCGACTCCCCAGGATCCCAGCTGGAGGACGACAGTCTCTGACAGTCCGCACCCTCTTCTCTTAAGGTCAAGATCAATGCAGGTTTCATCATGAATGACCCTGTAGCATTTGAGAGACTGGGTGCCTCCTTCAGACCAGGGGCATTGCTTCTGAGGGCTTGAAAACAGACATCCTGAAACCACTGGCTCCCCAGAGGCAGGAGCACTCAGGTTCTTCCTCACTGCCCCTCCCTGAGTCCTTCCTCAGTCTTGATCCTGGCCCCGCTGCTCACAAACCTCCCATGCCTCCCCACTGCTGACCCGAATCCAGACGCACAGCATTAAAAGTCTCTCTGCCTGCCTGTCCCACTGCCTGGGGCCCATTCCCAGCCAAGTCGAGCAGGTCACTGGCTCTGTCCGCACCTTGCATTCCCCACCGTCTGCATGGTCGCCCTCCGCCTCCAGCTGTTCATTCAGTCAACCAAGATCTGCTGCGTGCCTTCCACGTGCCAGGTACTGGCCTAGAAACTAGAAGTCAGCGGCAAACAAAACAGACAAAAACCTCTTCCCTGGAAGAGCTTACATTCAAAGAGAGGGAGACAGACAAATAGACACATACAGCCATAGTGCGCTGGATGATGATAAATGATATATAGAGAAATGAGGTGCGGGGGGGACTAGCAAACGCCAGGGCTGGCCGGCACGTGGTCCAGGAAGGTCCTCCTGCAGAGGCGGCATTTGAGCAGGACCCTGGACGAGGGAGAGTGGGGACCTCTCCATAGAAAACCGGGAGGGGCGCACTGCAGGCAGAAAGAGCAAACATGCAGAGGCCCTGAGGCAGGAATGTGGGACCAGAGCTGCAGAGGAGGGGCTGACGGGAGATTATGAGGCCTGTGGGCCACGGCAGGGACACAGCTTTAACTGCGAGGGAGACCTGAGCCTGGACAGTGCTGACCGGAAGAGTGACACATCTGACTTTCGCTGTCACGGGCCACCCTGGCTGCCGTGTTGAGAACAAACTGTAAGGGGCCGGGGCTGGGGCTGGTGCGGGTGGGGTGGTGTTGCTGGGAAGACATTTATCAGAGAGGCAAGCGCTGCCACTACCCAAGCGGGAGACAGGGGCGGCTTAAAACCAGAGTTACAAGCGGATCTGCTGATGGTTTGGGTGTCAGGGGATGAGAGCAGGAGCAGAGAGCGTGATGATTCCGATGGGTTTGGCCTGAGCAACCGGAAGGATGGAGATGCCATGTCTTAAGTGAGGGAAGCAACGGGAGCAGCAGGTTGTGGTAACGGATGGGACTGAACAATCGCTTCTCTATGGGATCAATGGGAACTAGCCTTTAAGCCCCGAAGGCAACACAGTCTCCTCTGTGAAGCCGTCCTTGCGCTGAGCTAAAATCTCACCCTCTCTGAATGCTGGCCCCACCTCAAGTCCCCTCCCCTCACGCACACACATACACACACACGTGCACACACAGAGAACACTCCTCCAAACCACTGATTTGGATCCACATATTACTCAAGGGAGTAATCCACACACTCCCTTGAGTAATATGTGGATGATTCACTTTCTAACATCCGGAAGCATCTGCACCCAGTAGGTGCTCCACAAATATTTTTAGCAACATGCTTTCAGAGAACTGCACCTACGATGCTTTAATACCTAATGACTCAAGACTGTTCTTTCAAAACTGTTCTTTCAAAACATCTAAAAATTATGCTTCGCGCTGATTAAATATTAAGTGGTAATTATTCCATCTCAAGGGTCCTATATATAGATGCTGACCCGCCCCCAATCATTCAAATTGTCAAGGAAGCTCTCCTGGAAAGGCCAAGTGAGGAAGGTGGGTGTTACCTTGCTGGTCCTTATGTCCCAAGCTTTCATTTCAGAGCTGAAGCCGCCACATACAAAAACGCTGTGGTCTCTTGGATGGAACTTCAAGGTAGTGATCCTAAAGTCACTTTGGCCACTGAATAGCTGGGTTCCTACAACACGCAAGAAGAAGAGAGTATTAGAAAAGACTCAGATCACAAACTAAATATCTTAAAACTAAGATGCCACCTGGTATGGGGCCACAGAACACAGCCCCTGGGCCCAGGCGGCCAGTGAAGAACCTCTGGAAACGCAGCAGGGGCAGCACCTGCCCTCACTCTCAGCCTACCTGAGACCCTCTGTTAGCTCAACCCCGTCCCACCCTCACCCGCTGGGATAAGCAATATGCCTGAATCCATGAGCATCGCCTTTTAGGTGCTTAGTAAATACCATGCACATCAACCCAGTTAAAGCACACGACAACCCTAAACCCACTTTGCAGTTTGAAGAAAGCAAGCCTCAGGAAGATTGAATAACATCTCCAAAGCTATACAATAATACCATAGATTACTAATCTGGCAGTCTAAAAACCAAGAGCGGGATGCCACAAAGTGATTCTTCTTAGGATCGGCACCTGACAATCACACCCTTATGGCTTGCAATAGGATGGGGGGAGGGTGGGGTTTGATGTAGAGCGTGGCAGGTGGGGTGCCATCAGACCCTGAGTGGTCAATGAGAGTGTGACATCACAGTGACTCAGGCCACAGGTTGGAGGAAAGAGATGCGGACCACCTTTTCTATCTGCCATGATACTGAGATCAAGCGCTCCTAGGCATTGTGCAAATATCTGCCTGTATGCACGTAACTCTGCTGTGGAAAATATCTTCTTTATCACTGAGATCTCTTAGAGGTAAGCCATAAAAATGCCAGAATGGTCGATCATTTAGAATGGGTCAGACTTGGGGCACGTGGGGAGCTGAGCCCACGTTGTGCTGAGCCCAGGTATGTTAGCCTCCAAAGCCAGCGTGCCTTCCTTTCACAGTGCCACAGCCCAGGAGGGGCATCCTTGACCGCCTTTGGCCCTTGAAAACCCTCCCCTGGACTGAGATGGTGGGCAGTTAGGGACCTAAGAAGCCGGAAGCCAGTGCCCTGCCCAGATCTCAAGCATAGTCTCACAGGAACTCAGGAAGTGTGCTGGGCCCACAGATTCAGAAAGCACTTCCGGAAGGCTGCCTGGCTTTGCATTCAGGACCCACACTTAATTAAACACTGTACCAGCTCACCAGGTAAGGAGATGAAAGTCATCAACTGGTGCTCTTGAGAGTTACAGCAGAAGTCTTGATGAATCCAATTTGCCTAGATCCTTGGCGTCCAACCTTGTCTGACAGTACAGGAGATGCCCTTAGGCATATAATGCCAACATGGGTATATTTATTTAATAAATAGTGACACGGTGTGCTACTGTACCAATGTATTATGAACATCAAAACAATTACCAAAAAAACAACATGATTTTGAGACAAGGATAAAAGACTAAAATAACCCATATTTTAAAACACACTTTAATATGCCATTTACTAAGAGCACCAACAAACCTCTTGGAAATTATTAAACCAAATGAGTTATGATATTTTTAGGAAGAGCAGCAGGACTGGACTTACTTCCATTTTTGTAATGTAGGGACCTTTCATTGACTCGGGGGACTTGACAGCAGTTCAGTTACAGCCTCAGTTTAGACACTGAAGTCTGTCAGAGCCCCAGAAGCCTCCTTCCAGAGATTCGAGGAACCAGAACGGAAGACATTTGCCACTGGAAACAGGAGAGGCATTTCCCACTTTCTTCTACCACTGATGCAAAGGATTTTATGAACATTTTGCTAATAAAGCTCCATTTCCCCTAATGCCAAATAATGGCTCCTGCAACTCATCTTTAACAACCCAATTCACAATCCACTGAAATTTTCATTTACAGGATTCTAGAGACTAGAAAAACACTGTTCCTGGGTTAAGAGTGTAAAAATCAAAGTTTTTAATAGGTGATACATTCACATCATTTGGGGCAACAAAAATTACAGAATATTAAAAAAGATTTTAAAACATGTTTTCAAAATGTCCTCTCCATGGTACAGATTTCTTGGAAAAAGGCTACTCTCTTGCTCTTTGTTAAAATTTCACCTTTACCTTGATGGATGATTAAGCATGTTGATTTTTTTTTTTTCAAATATCTTCTAAGGGCCTAGAGTTGGCAGTCACTTGTCATCAGAGGAAATTTTGGAAACACTTGACTTTTTGTAAATGAAGACTCTGTGCCTCTTTAAGCTCAATAAGCCCCTCCACTATTTTGCTACAAAATTCAATGCATAAAGATTTCTGTGGTCATCGCGTGTCACCGCAACATGCTGTCAAGAGCTGGTCAGTTGGGATCGAATTGCTGATTACGGTGAAGGGACCATAAACAGCAGCCTCAATGTCCAACCCGAGGAGAGCAGTTAAGGCAAATAAGGTTCTCTGCCTGGTGCCACGTTGAAAAGCCATTTACAACTGGGACTATAAATAGCACTGTGGCAAGAAAGACAATGCTGGATACTTGTTCTTGAGTTACAGGACTATTAAAGAAGGACAGATGTGAGCAAAGATGGGAAGACATGATTCGCCCAAGGAAATGCGTAGTTTGAGGGGTAGTAAGATAAGTTCTTAAATTATACTAATATTGCTGTCATAATACTGCTTTTCTAATAAATAACTCCCCTACGAAGCATCAGGAAGATGAGCAGACTTTTGTTCTGGGTGCTGTGCCCCTTTCATTAGCTCAAAAGACAAGCAACTCTCTCAAGTTAACCAAAAAAATTGCTTCCCAGGGAATCAATCTCTTTGGAAACCTGGTACTTCTTGTTCTGACTCTTTCTTTTCCTTTCCTGAAACCTGTCTGGAACCCAAACTCTTCCTCACCTTTCTGCCACAGTTGAAACCAAGTCAGAAAACCACGGTCAAAAACCAAGGGTGGGACTTCCCTGGTGGTCCAGGGACAAAGACTTCACAGCCCCAATGCAGGTGGCCCAGTTCGATCCCACATTCTGCAACTAAGAGTCTGCATGCCACAAGTCAAGATCCCACGTGCCGCCAGGAAGACTGAAAGATCCCACATGCCACAACTAAGAGCCTGTGCAGCCAAGTAAACAAATATTTTAAAAGAAGATGAAAGAAAGAAACCCAGCATTTAAGAGCCCAGTTAGCAAGCTCCCCTCCCAGGAAGGATGGAGCAGAGGCTGCCTGCCTGTGCACCCCAGAGATGGGCTTTGTGCCTGCAGTGCTGGCCTCAGGAGCCTCAGTCCAGACAAGGGGCTGGGGGACCCCCACGGGGGCTCAGGGGGAAGGCAATCATCACGTTCCTTTGATGGAAAAGAAGCGTACAGGTGCCACTGCAGCCCTCCCCAACCTGAGAAGGCCCAGCAGGCCACAAGTTTTCTCTTTAGACCGAAAAAACTGCACCTAATGCCGACTTCTTGCTCATTTGCAATTCACTGCCAACCCTTAACTCCACAAGGAAAAACAAACTATCTGCCTGGAGGAAAAAAAAATCCTCCCTGTTTCTTGGACCATATCATATAACCATATGCTTATTTCAGGAAAGGCAGTGAATTAGCCATGTTTTTTTCAAAAAGTGTAGTGATACAGTCTTGCCAGCAATAGGGGGGAAAAAAAGAGGAGAGGAAAAGGGAAAGTCGAGCAGCTAAAAGGTAATGACTGAACATTTCTGCCGAAAAAAAATGTATTTCTGACTATGTTATTCATCCTCCATTCCCTAAAGAGACTGAGAGAGAATCTATGTCTTTTAAGTACTAAAATTTTCCAGTTAGAAGACAAGCCATAATTTATATCTTTTTTTTTCCTACTTTTAATTGTAATAACTCGGGCTCTGCTGTATTTTCTTTGTTAAAAGGGACCAAAACTAAAAAAATGTTTCCATTTTTTAATCAGCTTCAGTTCAGTTCAGTTCAGTCGCTCAGTCGTGTCCGACTCTTTGCGACCCCGTGAATCGCAGCACGCCAGGCCTCCCTGTCCATCACCAAATCCCGGAATCTACTCAAACTCATGTCCATTGAGTCGGTGATGCCATCCAGCCATCTCACCTTCTGTCGTCCCCTTCTCCTCCTGCCCCCAATCCCTCCCAGAATCAGGTTCTTTTCCAATGAGTCAACTCTTCGCATGAGGTGGCCAAAGTTAATAAGCTCACAGATCCCTAATTTTCAAGAGAGACAACCTAAAGAGGTCTGGGGAGAAACTGTAACTCAATCAGGACCCCAGCTACCTGTGCAGAGCGAGAGGTGATACCGCGGAGGGGTTGAGGGTCACACAGACCCAGGTCTCATCCCAGCTCTGTCACTTTCAGGAGTGCGACCCTGGGCAGGCCCCTTCTCTGGGGGGTCGCACGCCCTCAAACACGCACGTCTGTCGGGAGGGCAGTAAGCAGCGCGGTATGGAGAGGATTCTAGAAGGCCCAGCACACAGCAAACAACAAAGGGAAATTCTTACAGTTTGAAGACAACTAAGCCTCAAATTATTGAATTCATCCTCAGCTAAACTGAAAGCTAAAACCAAGGGATATGAGTTTTCAACAGCAGGAGACTTGAGAGATTATTGACTTAAGTTTTTGTTCTGAGGCTATGAGACTATGATGCCCCAGGCTGGCCTGTACATTTTGTTAAAGAGATATGGACAAGGCCGGCAAATATTTATCAGACACTGTCTTGAAGGTGATAGCCACGATGCAAGTGGAGGGCCTTGCCTGTCACCTGTGTTCCTGCTCTGAAACTTCTCAGAAACGGAGCTGAGTGTTCATCGCATCCCCGCCCCGGCCATGAGACTCTGAGCACGATGCTTGGTTGTATATAACCTCTAACTGTGAGACGCGTCCAACTTGTTTACATGTTTGTTATGGAAAATTCCACTTATTCGCTGTACGCTGCTTATAAGAAACTGAGCTTTAAAATATTTAATCCACTAACACTGACGTTATTGATCTTGTTCTAATGAACTCGACCGGTATAAGCACTGTTCAGACCCTCTTGGAGTTAGGAAAAATCACTTCTTTTCCTCCATGAATCGATAATGATACAAATAAACTATAAATCGCCGTTGAAGCAAAAACATGTTGCAAACAGAATGCAGAAATG